CTGTAATTTCACAATAGTTCAACACAAGTTCAACAAAATTTCAACAATATATTTTTGTATACAATAAATAAAATATTTATTTTTACTATAATTTATATTAATAAAATATAATAATTATTTATTATAAATATATACATGTGATGCTTTTAATATTTTTTGTTCGAAAAAACAAACAACAAATGATCATTTTGTTCATGTTTTATATTATATAATATTTTTATAACAAACATTTTTATATTAAATGATATAAAACATCAATTATATTTTGTTTTTATTGTTAATTAAATATGATTATACAATTTAAAATTATATCAATATTAATAAATTAATAAAATATGATGTTATAATAAAAAATAATTAAATAATGATATAGATTTGTAAATTAATTGTATGATTTAGTTAAGTTTGTTTCTTTTCTTTTTTGGTATTTCTCTGAGCCGACATTGTTTTCATCAATTTTTTGGTTTCTTTTGCAATACTTTTTCTTCTTCTTAACTTGGGTGCTTTATAATTGTTATTTTGCATTGATAATTCGATATCTTCTAGAAAACACTTAGTTGATTGACAACTTCGTTTCTCAATTTGAATTTCTTTGTCATTTACAATTGTGTCAAATAAATTATCTTCTCTGTGTATTAATTTAAATTTCATTTTGTTATAATGTAAATTTACCAAACTCTGTATCTATATGTTGTTCAGTTGGTTGTAATTTCTGATTTGTTTTTTCTTGTGTTCCACCAATATTTGTGCAATTATTATTTTGTTCTAATATTTCGATAATTTTATTTTCATTATCGACCCCAAGTGCACTTGACTCGGCATCAGATTCAAAAACGGTACTGTTTTCCTTTCTATTTAAAATGATTATACAATCTATTAAAAATTGTTTCGATGTCAAAGGAATTTCACTAAATAACTCTTTTTGTTTTTTGTTAATTGACATATTTTTTTCGGTGGTTTTTTTGTTTTATCGTCGTTTAATTAACTGTGTGTTATATTGAAAAAATTTGATGTACAATATTTTTAGATATTTTTTGAGTTTTTCCATAAAAACGTGAACATTTGGATGTGTTAACCCACTTAATCTGTTCAAAGCAGAATGATAGCTTTCTGTGTGATTTAATGTTCTTTCAGTTAATTTATAGACACACCAAACCCGTTACTTAAAAGCGTTAGTGTTTTATTCAAAAGTTATGAACAAAAGCAACTTGTGCTTTTTGGTTGAAGACACAAATCATAACAAGTTTGGTAACATGTTCACTGGAAATATCTATTCCACTGATTAATATATTAACAGTGGCAGTTCTCACATATTTTCACTTGTGAGAAGTGGTAGTTTGAATCCAAAAAAGTTTTGAAATTGTAGAAATAACAACGATAGTGAATTTATTATTTATTCTCAAAACTTTTTATACCTCTTTACATTTAGTGGTAGTCATGATATAAATGTGTGCAAAAAAACATTGATGGAAGTTATTGCGGCCTATTCACCATTACCGCCAAACAGAACGGGTTGATTGATAACAACTATTTCACGCCAAAGAATGTCGTTGTCTTTCAACTTAACTGACTTATTTATCATTTGTTTTATATTGTTTTCAAACTTTGCAACACATTGACTCTACAAACAAATAAATAATATTTTATCGGTTTGTAAAAGTGTTTATTGAATTTGCTAATTTCCATCGTTCTCATTAAAACCTATCATTTTTTTATACTTTCTCTGTTCTATGTGTTAGTTGATGTGGGTGTATAATTGAATATATATTTTATCAATAAAATAGACCTAACACTTGAATAATCTCTTTAAAAATACAAACAGGTGATATTCTTGTTCCATTTAATTAATAATAGTTCTGGGTTTCAACTTCATTTATTAGTTTTATAAAATTTTAAAACAAAAAATAGTTTATATTTAGTTTAATTCAAGACCCGCATTTTAGTTATATTTTTATTTATTTGATTACTTAATTTTTTAATGTTAATAATTGTTTAAATAATTAATAAAATGAAAAACACCAAAACAAATTTATATTTGAATTAGCATCCATATTTTTCTCAGCATCTCACTTTTTCGCTTGACTGTAATTTAAAAATTATCGATATTTAACAATTAAAAAAGTTTAAATATAAACACATTCAAATTATTGACAATAAATACATAATATTATTGAAACTCATTGTTACAACTTTGTTATTTATTTAAACGTTGTTTATTCTATTTTTCAAAGATTCATAAATATGACAATTTATATACTCAAAAAAGCTCACGCAACAAGAAACATTTTTTGTTATTGAGGAATGTATTTTGTTATTTGTAATTTCCATATTATAACAATTTAAATTTCAAATTCAATTGAATTTAATATTTTTTGTTTTTAAATCGAAAAAAAATTGTTTTATCAAAACACCAGCAAAAAACAATCCAAAAAAGAGAACAGTAGGGGTGAGTACCAACTAAAAAAAGAAAATGGTAGGTTTCAAATTGAGTCGGTGTATTTGAATATGTGGAATGTAGGAGATGGTGACTAAGTTAACACAGAGTAAAAAAGCGAACAAAAGAAAATTAGTTGACTGTATTAAACTTGTTTTTTGCGATGAGTATGATAAGTATAAAAAAATAAAACAACAAACCAATGCTGGGTTTAAGTGTTTGAAACCTTTTTTCAGTTCCTTAAAACCTTCATTAATCTGAACCTCACCACTTATTTATCCAATGCCAACGGACCTGTTTCCGTTCCATGTTTTTGATATGACAATGGCATGTTGGTCGGATTTATCGGCCCATTTATGGAATTTCGACTAGTTACAGTAAAAGATAAAAACTGTCGAGATTCTAGTCACATTGGATTTCATTATTTCGAAGTACATCCCAATCTATGATTTTTGAACATCAACACGAGGCATTTCCATGGCTTTTCGTTGAGCAGTCTGAACACATTCTTTTCTCTCTACAAAGTTATACAAGTCCCTGACACTGATGTTGACTCTTGATAACTCGCCGACTATAAACACCATCAACTGCGCGTAAGTCGCTGGTCGCCTCAATTCTTTACTTTCTTTGATGTAGTTAACGAGGCGTCTTTTTTGTTTACAGAAAAACATCTCTTCGCCCTGAATTGCCCGGCCTTTCTTCGATCCTTTTCATCTGCATCAACAAGACATAATAAGGTAATGATGTAGTCACACTTCCCAAAAATTTGACATATTTAATACCACACTTGGCTCCCATGTATTCCCTAAATCTAAACATCCGAGTTCTTCGATTTTTCGCTATTTTGTTTCTTTCAAGTTTCTGGAATCTCAGAATGTTGTTTATGATTTCTTTAAACTTGTCTTCGAACCTGGCTTCCAAAAGATGGTCGTAATAACTATCGCAGTCAAATTTATCGTTGGTGATTCTGTCGACAACTTGCTTGTCGTTGTTTAATTATACTCTGATTTCCTCCATTTCCACTGATGATTTGGAAAAAACCTTCTTCAATATTTTCTTCTTGTTGATAGTGTTCAATGTTTTTTTGGGTCAAGTAGTTTATAACTTTTTCATCGTTAGCGGCCTAAGATTTAACATGAAATTTAAACGGTTTTCATTGGTACCTCAACACGAAGTATTCTGTTTATAATTTGCATTCCCAGAATTAAATTGTTGTCATGTTCCAAAATCGACAGGAGCCGTTCGAACCCAGCCCATTGGAACAGACAAGTCTTGATGTTTTTAAGCATAATATGTTGTGTTTATTTGTGTTCATTGATGTTCATCATCTTCTTCAAGCTCTTTGTCATTGTTTTCAGTTTTTCTAATATTTTCACATAAGAGTCGTATTAACATTAAAATGTTCGCATTAATGTCTCGATGTTTGTGATTGAATATTTGAGCAGGTTTTTCTGGTTAAAATTACATAATTCACGTTTGTTCTCAAGTTCTAGTACACAGTAAGAAGATTTTTGTGAAAAAAATCAAGATTTTCAACAATATCATTGACATCTTGCTGTGAACAGAGAGCATCAACTAAATTTAAAAACAAATCTTCTCTAAAATACATACACAGGAAAATTTTTTTGAGTTCCATTTTTTTTATTTTTTTAGTTGGAAAAATGATTTTGTTCACCTTCTCCTTTCATTTTTCGAGTTTATTTTTCTTCAAGATTGAAACTGTTTTTTCCCAAAAAATTGTGTTATTTGCGAGATTATTTCTTGCTTTTATTTAAAATCATTTGAAAGGCTATGAAATTGTTTTTTTATGAACAAAGAGATTTGTTTCCAAAAAGAGGTAAAGAAAAAAAACAAAATTGCCGACACTCCATTTTTAGTCGAACCTTCTTCAAATAAGACCGAAGAAACAAAAATTGAGTAAATAACAACGTTGTATTGTGTACTCTTACCATAAAACTACTGAAAGCTAACTCTATCAATTTGTTATGTTTTTTAAAATTATTTAAATTGTTTATCTAAGTGTATTTAAATTTCATAATTCCATAATATTTTAAGTGAATTAAACCCAAATTATACTGTATATGAAGAAAATTTTAAGTTCATTGTTAAGTTCATTAGAAATATTAATTTCATTAAAATTGTGATATTTTGAATGGTGTTGGCATTTAAAAACCAATTCAAATATCTTTGAAACATTTATTTATGTTGTTTTGTTTCTTGTTACCACTTCTTTCTTTTTCAGTATCTACCCATTGTGCTGTGTTTGATAAAGATATTTGTCTCTCGTGTTCTAAAGATTATCATTTAGATTCATCAAATATATGTATTTCTGATGTTGAAAATCACTGTTTACGTGTTAATACAGAAGGAAAATGTTATACTTGTAACATGGGTTATGTTCTTGAACCGATAAATGGCACGTGTTCTATTGGTGACGATTATTGCCAATTACACAGTTACGGGATTACAACTACTTGTTCGTTTTGTAATCTCCAGACCACTTTAATTGATTCTAATAAATGTGTGAATTGCTCTTCTTATGGAAATTCTGGGTGTAAAGTGGCATATGGATCATGTAACAAATGTACCACTTGTTATGATGGGTATTACCTTGATAACTTCAGATGTTACAGATTGCCAAATTGTGAAAAAAAACGACGATAAAAATTGTTATACTTGTATTAGTGGGTATTATCCCGATAACGAAGGAAAGTGTCAAAAAGGTACGATCCGTCATTGTTCAAATTATATAAATAAAAATTTGTGCGTTAGATGTTTGGAAGGAATGAAAGTTGTTGGAACACAATGTGTAAAGATCAATGGATGCCTCATTTCTTATGCAAAAACATGTGAAAAGTGTGAACCAGGAATGTCTTTAAATAACTCTGAATGTCAACCATGTGCCTCAGACAAGTGTATTGAATGTAAAAATCCATCTATTTGCTCAAAATGTTTAAAGGGATATACCATCACTACTAATGGAGGATGCAAGAAGTGTGAAGAAATACAAAACTGTATAAGTTGTGCAAACGACAAGGAAGAATGGTGCACTTCCTGTTCAGATAATTATAGGCTTGTTGATAATCAGTGTCATCAAAAAATAGAGGGGTGCTATCGTTACAACGATAATCCAAAAGCGTGTGATATATGTTCAAATGGATACACATTAAATAATGGAACATGTATAAAATGCACAAGTGGGTGTTATTCATGTGATTCTAATGGTCAAAACTGTTTATCGTGTTTTTATGGATACACCTTAAATGGGACAACTTGTATAAAATGCACAGATCATTGTGGTGAATGTTTGAACGATTTGTCGAAGTGCTTTTATTGTTCAATGGGTTACTATTTAAGTAATAATTCTTGTGTTGATTGTGAAGAAACAGGCTGTCCAAATCTTGATACAGACACATGTAACAAGTGTTCCTCGATATGTTTTCTCGGAGTAAACTCAATTCTTTGCAAACATGAAGCTTGTACTGTTTATAATGAAAGCCTTAACATCTGCACTGAATGTCAAAACAATTATTTCCTCGATGAAGATTATTCGTGTAAAAAATGCGACTATTCTTGTAATTATTATGGTGGGTGTGTTGGTGATAAATATACGTGTTTACGGTCTAAAAACAAAATTAATAATTGTATTCTTGGAACTGTTGATGGTAAATGCAAAGTTTGTGAATATCGATACACCCTTTCTGAAGACAAAACAAGTTGTGATAAGATTGGATATTGCCGATTTCGTGATGATGATGGAAATTGTATGGAGTGTTACATTAAGTTATATGACACTTTAGACTATTATTATACACCAAACAAAAAAGGAGAATGTTATATTGGTATGGATTATATTATTGATTATTCTGATAATGAAGAAACGTCTATCGATAAGTCAGATTATTCTAATAATGAAGAAACTTCTTTTGATAAGTCAAATTATTCAAATAATCCCAATGAAACAATAAACGTTTACATCGCTTTTCTTATTTTGGTTATTTTGGTCTTAATTTAGTTCAATTTAATCTTTCAGTTTTGGTATATTTTCTAAAAAATCTGTGTTTATACAGGGTCTATCAAGTGACAAATATGTTTTTTTTTGTTATTTGCCAAGTCACCAAAGTGGCATTGAATTTATGTTCACTTAGTTCTTTTGGATCTAGCGGCGAGCTTAAAGCCGACTTTTGTAAATGAAAAAACTTAGAAATAGATAGTTATTTGAATCAATACTAAGCCAATTAATGGGAAAACAAGCCAATTCAATTCTTAAATATCGGTTTATATTTTATTACTGCTGTGATTGCCATAATTAACACAATAATTGTGACAAATGCAACACTGTTTTACACATCAACCCGATAGTTACAAATAACATTTTAATAACACAAATAATAATGAAATAACAATCTATTAAATAATTGTATTTTTATTATAATATGTAATAAAATAAACCTATTCAACTTAATAATAAACCAATAAACCAATAAACCAATAATTAAAACTGCTATAAAACAACTAATAATAATAGAGAAATGTATATTATCATATTTATATTTAACGTTATTAACTAATTATATATATTATAAAACTATATTAAATAATAATAATAATACAAACTCAAAAACTCAAATATATCTGTTAATTATAAAAAATACTATATAACAAATAATATCAATACTATATTTTTAAACTATACAAATCTAAACAATGTATTAATAATTAATTAAATTGTTTAGTACATGATTTATATTTATAACTATAAACTTATAGTTTAAATAATTATATATTTATTATTATTGTGTAATGAACATTTAAATATTAGGATAGCTATGTCTAATAAATCGGGCATTTTATTTAGAAACATTTATTAATCAAAAGCAGTTATAGGACAAAAAAATAAATTACTCTCAATAAAAATAATCAACTAAAACTATATATTAAAATATCAATAAAAATAGTTAAAAGACACACATTTTGAAATATAGTTTATTTACCCAAAATGATAGGTAATAAATACATTATTTAGCGGGATCTATATCATTAAAATAACACAAATACAAATACTAAAAAATAACAATCTAAAAAACAAAATTTCTAAAACATTAACATTCTTTAAAATGGCAATTTAAAAAAACTATTTGAATTTCAAAATAGAATTTATTTTAAAGACTTTTCAAAAACAACCAAATATAACAAATAACAACACACAAAAATTATCCAACTATAACAAATAAATCAAAACAGGTTCAAATTTACAATAATAATTGTCAAAACGTGATACATACAACACAAATTATAACACAATCAACTTCGCCATGAAACAAAACAAAAAATAATAATGTTTTTTTCACGCGAAAAAAATTAAAATGTTCATGAGTAAAATTATTTCAGTTTTTTTTAACATCAATTTTGTATAGATTTGAAATGTTTTGTTTTTTTTTGATTGCAACAAACCGATTTGACAAAAAAAACAAAAACATCAAATTATATTGTTTAGTTTATAGTAAAATTTACTAAAATTGAAACTATATATTTTATAAAAAATTCTAATACTCTCACTATATAAATTGAATTAAATAAATTATACTATTATAATTATAAACAATTAAATAATAAACTAATACATTAAAATGATTTAGCTTCGTGATACAAGTTTATATATTCATTGGGTATAGTTGTTTTGTTAGCCTTGTCGTGTTTTGTTTGAGTTCATTCTTGCATCCACCATCCTGTCTTTAAAAACTGATTCACCCTATTCCAATTAATGTTGTCTAGGAACCTTTCTCCCTTCGATCCTTGAATTTTTTTTCTTCTAGATATCTCCTACTTCCACCAAGATCTGTACTCAAGTTTGTTTCAATAGAAATTACTACTCTACCTTTATCACTCATGTGTTCTTGACACCGTGCATTTCCTTACTCCTCGTGTGCCTCAGCCTCCACAAGGATACAATATCATTTTCTCTCATCATAATACCTTCCATTTTCAAGGCTTATCCATTCGATAGGTGAGTTGTTACACACTTCTTAGCGATTTCCAACTTCCATGGCCATCTTCCTATTGTCAATATGAATGAACACCTTTTATGGTTCTCCTCATGCAAGACTTGGATACTTTATCTGTATGTTCGGTTCATCCCGCTTCGCTAGTCCTGCTAACCAGACTTGGCCGATTTGAAGTCCACATATGCTCACTCCTAATAAATGTTTATCGTTTAGAATATCTCGGCTATTCATAGTTTGTTAGAATTATCAAAATAAAACTCTCCATTGTGTTCAATCATTA